AGTCGTAATTTCCAGCAGTCCCAGAGCTGGCACCTGAGGCCTGCCTGTCCCCAGGTCCGTCGGGGGACTGAGCTGGGGCCTGCTGATCACGGCTCACCAAGAAGGTGGGTGTGTCAGCTTGGGCTGCTTCCAGCTTTGGTCCCTGCGGCCGCTGCAGGACTCTGGGGCGTTGCCATTCTTCCTGTGGGGACCTGGGACGTGTTTCTGAAGGTGCTGCTGCCCTGTGACCCTCTGTCTTTGGAGGCCTGCATGAGATGCCTGGGGTGGTCACTGTGCCTGTAAGAAAAGCCCAGGCAAGAGGCTGCTCCTGCCTGGTGATCTGATCCTGTGATGGGCGTGTGGTCAGGGGATGGGGCTCTGTCCTGGGGCCCTGTCCTGGGGCCGGAGGTGTGGTCCTCCACACAGGAATGTTGGACCCTCACAAAGTCCTGCTCGTGTTGTCTTGTTTCATCCTCTCGACAAAGTAGGCTTATCCCCATGACTCGCCTTTATCTTGACCAGCCAGAGATGGGGGTGGGTTATGGAGTTAGAGCTACAGTTGTCCTATGGATGTTGAAAACATCCCACGTGTAAATACTATTCATCTGAAGGATGATAACAAATGGGATTTTTATGTTCTCAGGGGCTAGGAGAATGAAATGTCTCTAAACGTGACAAAATGGTAGCAAAGTGTCCAAAAGTTTGGTGTCCAAAGCCTCCGAAGAAGCTGGATAACAAATGCACAGAGCTATCACAGACCCCTGGGCTGGGTGGAGGGTGGGCGTTCCCACCAGGCAGCCAAGGATGGCTGGTAGCATCTCTCCCCGGGGAAGATGGACAGGGCGGCCATCACTTCCCTCACCCTGGAATAATTCTGACAGATGACACCAACACACTCAATCACTTCTGAGAACGGTGAAGTCCACACCTGCCTGTCCGGCGTGACAGATAAATGAGGCCGTATGGGATGGACTTCGGCCAGAGCATCTGGGTTGCCAGAGCCTAAAGAGCCATTTCTGCAATCTCTGAGTCCAGAGCTGTGTAACCTGATCCTCTAGGGCTGTTCGTGGACACACGCCTGCTCCCGCGCTGGCCTAGCAAGCCCACTTGGCCTTCTACCGCTGTTGGGTCCCTCCCAGGCTTGTTTCAGACGTGGCCTTGCTAAGCCTCCGTTGTCATGTTTTCCTTGGTCATGTGGTCAGGGTCTGTTACCTGCTCAGCTCTTCGTGGCTCTTACTTCTCCCACTGACATGTCTTGGAAACTAGACATCCCCAGAACAGTGGTGGCAGTGATAGGCATGACCACGTGGACAGGGGTGGCCGCAGGCTCACTCCCCATTGAGGTCACACTGGGTGATGTGGGAGGGAAAGAGGACTCATCCTGGAGATGTCCTTCCTGGGACCTTGAGGCTGAACGCAGGCGGGGCTGCACTCAGACAGCTTTGCCAAGGAACCTCTCCTGCCCCTTGGGTTCTGGGAGCTGGGAGTGTAGACCCTACTGTGGATGTTGTGCTGTGGTGTGGAAGGTCAACAGAGCTACTGGGGCAGATGTAACTTGGGAACGTCAGGATTGTGTAGCAAAGACATTGGATTTGGGATGCTTGTAGAGTTCGTGTATGCAGTGGGTCAGCATTTTGGGCAACTGTATTTTCAGGCTGGACTCACTGCACGTGGTCATTTTCCTGTGGCACGTGCCTTGGACTGGCTTTGTCCTTGGGCGGCTCTCTGATGCCTGGGCTCGCCCCTCCCCTCCACGCTGGCAGCCCATCTCGGCTTGGGAGCACTTCCATCACAAGTTCAAGGGGCCGTGGCATTCAGGGAGATGCTCTCCATGGGGTCCTGTGTTCACCCTTGGCGTCACAGGAAGGGTTGGGTGGGAAGATAAGGGAATTGTGTGACGGCCCGTGACATCCAGGAGCACCAATGTGGAGAGACTGCCTGGTCCCCATGGGACAGTGCCGCCTCCTTGTGCTGAGCTCTCACTCCCTTACCTTTGGCGACATCATAGTCATCCAAGCGCGGCTGGCCCCTGCCCGGAGGATATGCAGCACTTCAGCATGTCTGCGTTACCCCTGCCTATGTATTGGTTACTGTAATGGTGACATCAACAAGTAAATGCATATACTCATATATTCATGGGACAAAACTCAATCTGGAAAAATGGAGTTGCTATCAGTTCCTTTTCTAGGGATTAAATCAAAATGGAGCTTGAAAAAGCCTTAGCGTGAGCTTCCTACACGCGGTCCCCCGGAGGGCAGAGGAGCGGAAGGGCATGTGCGGTTTCTGCACCTCCCCCTGAGCTGCCTCGCGCCTCCATCCCCATGCTTTCTTTACCGTGTACTTTTTGGGAAAGTCTTCTAAGCAAGTCTCTGCATACTTTCAGGAGCCATTCCAATGTTGCATGCTTATTTTTTCCTTATATTCAGAAAACTTAGGAAACATTAATGCAAAACTTGCCTTTTGGTATCATTAACATTGGAAGTCCTAACGTGTAAAATTCTAAAAACAAGCGCAGGATATTTAATGTTCCCGAGCTCTGCTGTCTTTTCTCTCGTGCACTGCATTTTAAAGGGACCTACAGTGGCTGGGCTGGTTTCACCATACAGAACTGGTGTTGTCAGCAGACAGTTCACGTTGGGGGATGGATGGTGCTGGTGTTAAACAGGATTTCCCAAGAGGAAGAGACAATTAGTAATTGCATTTCATCTCGAATCTTATTTGTGTCTGGTTCATTATTTTTCTTTGATTTTTCTGAACATTCTTTCTATTGTCCTATCTAAAAAACAAATGAAAACCCAAGTGATCTTCGATCCTTAGACCCCAGTGTGCCTTTATTTCACAGCCGTGCTTTCCGGAGCCGTGTCTGTGCTCCTGTTTTTGTCTTCTCATCCCACTCCAGGAAGCTGCCTTGAGAAGGACTCCATCTGCTTTTATTTATTTCTTCTTTAATTTTATTTTTTTTCGATATTTGGGCTGCACCGCGCGGCATGTGGAATAGTTAGTTCCCTGACCAGAGATCGAACCCGCGCCCCTGCATCGGCAGCGTGGACTCTTAACCACTGGACCGCCAGGGAATTCTCCTCGGTGTGCTTTTTATTGTCACATCCGAGGGCTGTGCTTTTCTACCCGTTCTTGCCACCATATTTGGCCACGTTGGCCACCTGCCCTCCCTTGGTTTGGGTGATGTCATTCATCTCTGCATCAGCCCACATCTTTCCTCGCTCCATCTTCTGTTCTAAGACCAACATCCTGACTGCTGTTCACAGTTTTACCTTCTCATTCTACACATTCCTCTTTGATGGTCTTATTCACACACTTGGCATCTATTATGGTCTAGGGCAGCTGCTTCTTCAGTCTGTAAGGCTGGAAATCTCTAAGGTCTAGAACCCTCTCTCCATGTGCCTACTAGATGAGGCCACTTGGATGTCCAGCAGCAACTCAAATTCAGCGTGTCCAGAACCTGGTCCTTTTCTCTGCCCTTAAACACCCTTCTGTCCCCAGTTTCCTCTCCTTGGATGGCATCGCATGGTGCCTTGGATGAACTTGTCACGAAAACGCTGGGTGCTGTGTTGGACTCTCTTTTAGCCCCCCCCCCCTCCTCTCCACTTCATCACCCGCCACTGTGTTCAGCCTGCCTCCAGTTTGCTTTTGTTCAAGGCCTCTTCTTTCAAACTTGCCACTGTAGCAGGAGGTCAGGCCTTTACTGTTTCTTGCCTGGACTATTGCAGTAGCTAACCTGTCTAGTAATGAGCCTCCCATCTCCACTGCCCTACCTGGCGCCATCACAGCTGCTGTCTCTGGCCTTTTGATCTGATCATATCCCTGCCCTGTCAGCACCTTCCAGTTCTCCACCTCTTTCTGTCTCATCCATCATGTTCAGGATGAAATCCAACTGCCCGTCTGGTCTTTTATTCTGCTTCTCCTCTCCCCACCCTTCTGAACTGTGCCTGTGGCTCTGTGAATATGTCATCTGCTCCTGTCTACTTGACTTTGTGAATAGGGTTCCTTTTCCTGGATGGCCCACCCTTTGTGGGAAATTCTGATTCCTCTTCCCAGCAGGTGAATGTATTACCTCCCTAACTTTCACCTCCAAGGTCAATACCTGCTCCCCGCCACCCCCTCCCTCATCAGCCCAGGGGTCTGGGAGACCAGAGAGGGGCTGGGGCTCTTCACCAGTATCTGTATCACATCATAAGAGCAAGTACCCTGTCCTGAGCATCTCACCTGTGCCAGGCCCAGGCCTTCTTGCCTCACCTTGCAGGAGTACATTGTACCTCAAACCTGTGAGTAGCTAGTGCCACTGTGCCCATGTTAGCAATGAGGAAACCGAGGCTCAGAGAGGTAACTAGCTCTGCCCGAGATAACCTTGCAAGGAAGCCAACGGAATTTAAACCCAGACAACCTCACTCCAGAGCATGAGCTCTCAGCCCCCTGCAGACTGTCCCTCTGCAGATGTGAGCCCAGCAGAAAGTTGTCCCTGAGTGGGTAAACATTAAGTGGGGAGTTTAGTAAGCTATGAACCGGCCAAGCTCAGGAAACTTTGGGAGGTATATGGGAGCAGGAAGGAACCATGCTCTGGTCTTCCTAGGAAATAACAAGAAGAGCTGCAATTCAAATCATTTTTGTTGTAACAAGTATTTCTTCTAAAGTTGCTAATCAGTAAATTTACAGTTCAGCACAGAAAATTAGTTAAAACCCCAGCATGCTTGTTTGCATTTGTATCTATGTACATACTGTTGGATATATGTGAATATGTATTTATATGTTTGTTTGTGAATTGTCGTTGTATATTTACATGGTGACACACACACATATGCGTGCACACGTGAGTGAATTATTTTATAAGAAAACAAGTGATTTCCTCCCAGTCAAGTAGTCTGACCCCCTCCAGATGTCAGTTTCACATTGCAGAGTATGTAAATGTAACATGCAGTGTCACAAGCTAGGAAAACAAGCTTCTAGCAAACAGAGTTGCATCTTGGTGGGTCTCCTGCTGACTGGCAACCCGGTGTCCCCTGCAGACTGCAGAGAGATCCTGCTTCCCATGATGACGGATCAGCTCAAGTACCATCTGGAGAGACAGGAAGATCTGGAGGCCTGCTGCCAGCTGCTCAGCAACATCCTAGAGGTTCTATACAGGAAGGACGTGGTGAGTAATGGCGGGGCTACCTCTGTGGACCCTGCAGCAAGTGTGGGCCTGCGATCCCCAGGGGCCCAAGCCTCCCAGGACCAAGTTAATATTTGATTCAGTTAAAAAAGTATGGCCTGGGGCTTCCCTGGTGGTGCAGTGGTTGGGAGTCTGCCTGCCGATGCAGGGGACACGGGTTCGTGCCCCGGTCTGGGAGGATCCCACGTCCCACGTGCCGCGGAGCGGCTGGGCCCGTGAGCCATGGCCGCTGAGCCTGCGCGTCCGGAGCCTGTGCTCCGCAACGGGAGAGGCCACAACAGTGAGAGGCCCGCGTACAGCAAAAAAAGAAAAAAAAAAAAAAGTATGGCCTGAATTTTAAGGGTTACCCTTTCTTTTTCTCTCTCTAGAGTTGCATCCTCAAATTATTTTTTATTTATGTGTAAAGCATGATGATTATATTACCACGTGTGCTTTTCAGCACTGAAGATACTGTTTTATGTTTGTTTCTTGTGACTTCTCAGCTAAGTGACTCCCAAGACTTAGATTTGATATTTAAGGTCAAAGGCTTTGATATTAAAAATTAGAAATAAACAGCAGGAGGCTAATTGCCTACTTTCTTTCAATTATTATTTTATATTTAATAAATAGATAATATTTAATGTTATTATTTTATACACGCACATAGTTGTTGTTGGTTGTTTTAAGTGCATCTGAGAGTTTTGAGAAGAGCAGTTCTCTGCCCCTTTTCCTGGGTTCCTCCCCCCAGAGGCAGTTTTCTCCTGTGCTTTCTTGGCTGTTTTTTTTTTTTTTTAATGGTATTTCCTTTTGCATTTCTCAATTGTATGCTTACTCCACTGACCTTCCAAAAGCTGGTGCAAGCACATATGGAAACATCTGACCCTATGCTTCCCCGACCCCATTGTACCCACCACATTCATTTGGGCACACGTGTGCACACACATGTAAAGTCATTGGTTCTCCAGGTGTGTCTGGACAGGTGTACAGGGCCATGTCTGTCTCGTCTGCCTCTAGCAGTGGCCAGATGGGCCAGGATTTTAAGTCGGCAGGACTTGCTCTTAGCTCTCCCCCACGTGCCCTCCTGCCACCTCCCCAGTCCACACACACTCACACTCACACACACTCACACACACACACACACACGTGCGTGCACGCACGCGCCTGTCCTGCCCACTTCTTGCTGCACCTGCTCATTCTCCCAGAGACTGGGTGTTGCCTTTGAAGAAGGAAATGAGGTAAAGTAATTCCTTGGGATGGTGGCTGCATCCGCTCTTGCCGGGCTTTGCCTTTGAAAGGTGTTGGAAGCCTTAACCCAAAGGCCAGCCTCCAGGGGTCCCATGCCAGGCCTTTTCCTTTTCTCATCCGATGAAAGGTTGGGAGTAAAGAGGTTGTGTGGCCAAGCCTCACAGAGGAGGTAGTGCCTGCCTGGCCTGTGCGGAAGCATCTAGAAAAGCCCACTTAAACATGTTCAAGGTTCACAAAGAAGAATCGGCAGTCCCACATCACACACGAAACACAGGAGCAAATTCTTACTGATAGAAGGTCCTCTGGCACTCTGAGTTGTAAGTAGTGTGTGCTAACATGATATTTAAACATTCGAGTCCATGTGATCGTTGCCACATTATTGGGATCTGACATACAGAGCCATCTATGGTGGTTATCTGTCAGCCTTCCATTTACGAATGGCCAAGTGTCTTTAGAAAACTCACTGGTGAGCTAATCAGGGATCATAAACATTATATTGTTTAAACAGAGTTGCTTTTATTTTTAAGGTTTGCTTCAGTTAAATTACTCTGATTATATAACACATTATCATTAATGGACTATAATGAGTTTTCTTTGTGAAGGCTTTTGCCTCTGACAAGGGCCATTTTTCATCTTGTTAAGGGTTGTAATTGATTTACTCTTTACAGGATAAATGAATTCAGTGACAGCCGCGGGACGGGCATGTTAATGACTGTCTTAGGTGGTGGTATATTTACACTGGTGTGTCCTCCTGCAGGGACCAACTCAGAGGCATGTCCAGATTATCATGGAGAAGCTTCTCCGGACAGTGAACCGAACCGTCATTTCCATGGGACGGGATTCCGAACTCATCGTAAGTGCTCGGTGACACACGCTTGTGGGTTTCATTGTGGCTGAGAGCATCTTTCCCGGGAAAGTCATTCGCTCTCAAGCCCGGAAATCCATGTGGTTCTTTCCCACCTGCCTTTTGAAACTAGCCATGTTGTACGATACAGCAAGCAGTTGGGATGCATTTATTTACAGTCTAGTAGGTTAAAGGTACTCATTTCCACGATTCTATAAGTAAGTGTCAGAGTTGAAGAGTAACAAACCAACATTTGGTTCTAGTTTTCTCGTTGCTTACTTCTAGCAAAGGATGTATATGTTCTTCTAAGTCCTCATTCTTCTGGCAGTTTCTTTCTACGTATTTACATTTAAGATGCCATTAATAAAATTTTATGAAGGGCCTTAAAAAGGAATTGAGGCCCTCTGACTTCGCTGTTTTATGTCTACTCTAAAGTATTGTAGATGTCTGTCCTGTTCAGATTGTCGAGACAAGGAATGGTATCTGTTCTTTTTCTCAGAGTTTTAGCGATAATTTAGCAAAAGCTTATTGCTAAAGCAACACTGGAGCGTTTTCATATTATGCTGATTTCTTCCAGAGTTTGCCACTCTCCCCCTCACCATCATTATTCTTAAATATGGTTTCGTGGGCAGAAGATGCATTTGTAGGTCCCATTTAATTTCTTTCATTTCTAGTACATGTTACCGTGTCACTGAGTTTGGTGGATCGCATTTCAAAAAAATAGCTTTCCTAATCACAGAACAGAAAATCCAGTTGGAGTCTTCGCTGGCAATCAGACTAGGCACATTGGTCTTCCTTGGGTGATTTTAGTTCTGTCTGCATAGCCTGGGAATGGATCAAGTACAGGGACGCGTCTGCCTCCATCAGGCAGCAAAGCAAGACCAGAGCACTGGGCTTGTGTTGGTTTCTGTGGCTGCATCACAGTAAAGGATGCGGTCTGTGGTTTTGGGTGAATCACAGGAGAATAGTTGCTGCCTTTGTATGTTTCCATCCAGTAAAATTGTCTAGTTTATGTCTCAGAGTTTTAGCACATGTTATGTGCAGATTTTCCTTTTTAAGGTATATCTCTTTTAGGTTTGGATTATAACATGTATAAATTAGGGAATAAAATATTTCCTTGTAAATTGGCGTTACTTGCAGTGGATTTTCCGTTACTCTGTAATCATGCTCTTCATCATAACGATTCTTTTCTGTAATCTGGAAATGCTTTTGTATATGTGGGTGGAGACTGAGCCCTGTGGAGGAAGAATTGGGGTGACTCCAGGGGCACCCCCGGGGTCCGGTGTTCCTGTCTTCCTGGGGTTGTGCCCTGGGTGCCCCTGGAACACTCTCTCATTGTAGAACTCGAGGGCTTTAAATAGAAAGAATGAATGTGGCTTCAAGGTGAACCAAGTTTGGTGTCATTCTGCCAAGAACCCTGTTGGAACAGGCTGGAGCAGAGGGGCTGAGGTGACGTTCTGGCTGTCACGGAGTCACAGTGAACGTGTTGGGCACTCACGATGGGCAGATGGAGGACATGGCCAACGTGGAGGCCAGTGAACTGATGAGATGTTTCTGTCCCTGGTTAGGGGTGTGTTCACTTGGGTTATAAGCCCACACTGGCCAGCAGTTGAACTGGGGAGAGGAGGGCAGGGAGGAAGCCCATAATGGTTTGGATGGGACCTTAGCCTGGGGCCAGATTGTAAGACGTGCTCGCAGCTCTGTCAGAGGATCTAGAATGGAGCGTGGTGACTTCTCTCAGACCATGTGGTCCTGGATGCCTTTGGGAAATTTCTCATATCTCAGACATAGTGATAATAGCGGCGCAAGTAATAGCTGCTCTCACCGAGCACTTGTGGACGTGCTGGGCACTGTGTAATGAACGGAGGGTCCTCACTTAACCCTCCCCTTCATTGTGCGTAGGCCGCTGCAGAAATGCCTTGCAGAGAGATGGGAAACGGTCCCAGACCCACAGCTAGCGTGGCGGCGCTTGTGGGGAGCACGGGTTGGCGCCAGAGCTGGCTTTCCTTGGTGTCTTCTGTGAGACTGAGACTCATGGTGCTGATCTCAGTGCTGGTCCAGGAGGCCCAGAGGAGGGCTCAGAATTCCTCCTGGTTCGGCATCGTAGTTAGTGCGGCAGCCGCCGAGGGAAATAAGCACCTTTTGCCCTTTGCCACCTTCAGTCGTTTTTGTGGACCAAATGTCAGGATGTCCTGGAGGAAGACGGGCCAGACCACGGATCGGTTGCCTCTTTCCTGAAGGGCTTGGAGGAAGCCATGTGTCCTAAGGAACGCTTAGGGGTGCCTGGGAAGAGCCCTTGCACCTTTACCAAGGGGGCATGAAGTGAGGACCCAGGCTCAGTCTTACCTAGCTGTGGCCCTGCTCCTACTGCATAGGTGGCGGGGTCCAGGGCACCGTCAGGGGCCACGGGGCACTAGAGCGAGCTGCCTACATCCAGGTGCATCCCCCCACCGCCCTGCCCTTCTCCAGCAGAAGTCTCCAGAAGCAAGAACAGGATTTAGGTCCTAAGCTAACTCCTCCGAATGCCAGCATCTCTAATGTGTATACAAGGAGGCCAGAAATTCCTTCCTAAAATGAACTAGGCCGTCAGGGAAGGAATCTCAAAAAAAAAAAAAGAAACAAAGAAAACAACTGAATATAACTATAATTATTTAATGAGTGATGACAGCATTAAGATGTTTTCAGGAAGGACATTCTCCATTTCAAATTGGAGATGTTCAGAGACTCTTTCAGTCGTCAAGGAACCACGAGTCCCCTTTGTGGCGTCCACAGAGCAGTGAGACTGAAATGTTGCCCTGCTTGGTGAGCTCAGCCTTGCTGTCCACATGGGCTCCCATGCAGATTTATGCATTAGCTTCTTAACGTCACTGTTGTAGCTCCGTGAATTTAGATGAGAGGAAGACATGGGGAAAAAAATATCCTTGACAAGGTGGCCAAAAAACTTAATCAGTGGCCCTTATAGAGTGGCAAAAGAGCAGAAAATGGTTTATAGGCCTGTTTGGGCTTAGCTGTAACGTTCCGTTACACCACAGAGATTCCAATCCTTATGTGTTTGCTCCTCTTTTTTGCATCAGTGGAATGGAAATGGTATAACTGAATCAGCTCACAAATTCTGAATAATCGCTGAAAATGGACTTTAACAATTTAAGTGATTAAAAAGGTTTTGAATAGCTGTGCTCCACTTAATGATTTATTTCATGATATTGTCAACAGTAATAGAAGCGTGACGTCTCTTTCCATCAAAAGTTATTCGTTGGGGATGAGTTGTGGCCTGACAGTTTCCCCATATGTTTATATGTGGAATTGAGAAGTGGGGAGCTTCACATGCCATTGGCTAAGCTGTGATGTACTATATGAGCGTCTTCTTTTAACTGTATCTATGGTACCTTATAAACACCATACAGTTGGTTATATATCGTTTGTTTTAGTTCATTTTATACCTTTCAACTTTATATTTGAAATGGGCTATTGGAATGCATCTCAGGCAGAGGATAAAAATATGCCATGATCCTAAGTATTATAGTTTTTTTTTAACAAATAAAACTCCATTTGGCAAGTGTAGGACTGTAGATTGTATGGATGCCTACAGCAGGCCCTAACACAGAAGCCTTGAAGTAACCTTGCCACAGAATTAAGATGCCATTTTATCTTTATTCCAGGATCGTCTAATGCTATAGAATAATTGAGTGAGGTGCTGAGCTTTACGTTGTCTGATTTCAGATTTTATTTTTCTCTTCCTCTTTGAAAAGATTTCTAGGCCATCAGCGTTGGGCACCTTCTTGGTCATTGTGTATGATTCTGAGCAGGGGGCCATGGTGGCTTAGGTGCTCTTGTCTGGTGGGCAGGTGACATGGTTTCCCCCTCCCTTGACCGCCCCCCCCCCCACCAACACACACATGCCTGTGTCTTTGCTGGAGTAAGTGCTGTAAACAAAGCTGGGTTGAGAGCAGACAGCGTGAGTAGTACGCGTGACCCTTCCTTCTCTTGTGATATTAGCTCTGCTGCCTCTTTCAAATAATCAGATTTACATTCTGTTAATGGGTCCTTTAAAAATGTAATTGAGTGAGAAGGACTTTTAAAGGTTTTTCTATGGCCTGGATACACACCAGAAGACTGAAAATTACTAATTCACGAAAATGAAAATGCGGCCTTCTTTAAAAGAAAGGTTCCCTTGGAAAATCCACAGAAGGAGGCTTAGGAAAGGGAAACATTCTTCCTGCATTCTCCACTTGTTCTTGTGACCACCAGACCTCCTGATTCCCTAGACTCAAGTGATGGAAGTTCTTTTGTTTCTACTCCGAACACCAGCTGTAGGGGACGTGGACGGGTGCGGTGTGTTTCATCGTGACAGCGGCACTATTGGTGGGGAAGAGATGCTGCTAGTAAAAGTCCACTGATTTCTTTGAGCCTGCGTGGTTTATAATGACTTGACCTACTTCTTCATTTAAAAGATACAGTAAAAGACTCCCTTTTACCAAGACTCATCACCAAATATTTACACAAAGATGTTATTTCCCCATGCACGAACATTTGTTTTGCGATCTTTATTCTAACGGACTTTACGTATGAATGTGCTTTTTAACAAAATGCTATTCTTAATCTTGCCTTGCAAAAGAAAGCAATGTGTTATAAAAATTTCAAGTGGACAGTATCTGGTTTTTCCCTGTGAGTGTTGCAAAAAGTGTCTCTAACTTGTATGTTTGTTAATAAACCTACTTAGGAAGCACCTGACTTCCAGAAAATCGTCCTGTCACAGGTACACGTGTGAGTTGTGATGACTTTATAAATTCACTTCCATATGGTATATCGGTTTAGCAAGTTTTCCTGCCTTTCACATGTTTCTGTGGCCGTAGGAATTTTTCAAGGTTGGCCACTGACTGTGGATTTACCACAGAGGAAATGAAAACCATATCATTACCTGGGTAAAATATGCTGTGCAATTCTTGCATGTTCATCCCAAACCATATCTTAAATTAATTACTGAGCTCCTTAAAAGGCAATATGCTGCTTGCATATGACCTTCTCATCTGCCAAAACGTATGCTGCGCATTATAGCACGATGAGTTACCCCTAGTGCACAAAACAGAACATTATTTCTGAATCATATAGTTCTTCTTTTCCTGTAAATAAGTTGGTTGCACACTTATCCCACATGCCAAATGTGCTAGTGGTAGAGCTTTTCTAGATAAAAGGAGATATATCAGTGTCGAGTCAGCTGCTATTATCTTTAGGCGACACTGCACCAGTGACTCTTGTCTGCCTTACTAGTCATGTCAAATTTTATTCGCTGATAAAAACGCTCCCAAAGAATCATTCCAGCTGTGGTGGGCTTTGTAAACGTGTTGTGCCCTCACAGACAGGGTGGAATGGAGGAGTTCGTGGCCCGTTTCTTGTATTTTGTCCTTGCTGTCGTCAATAAGAAGCACAAAGCAAGCACTTGAACTTAATGGTGTGTCTTCTGAGTTGGAATTGAGAATTGTGTGTCTGCCTTGCCTATGATGGTACCCTAAGGAGAATGGCTTTGCACGGCGTGCTCGTTGTTGCTGTTTGAGATTGGAGTCGGCCTGGTGTGGGTCCATGAATGATGATGCCATTTCTGCCACACCTCAGGTCTCCATGGCAGCGGACACCTTGGCAACCTCATAGGATGTGGGAAGCTTGTGCCAACTTCATGTGCCCTTCCCAAGATAGCAAGGTTTCCCCACACCTTGATTTTGTCCCCAATTTTACTCTGCTTTGGGGGAGAGTCTGAGATGGAAGGACCAGATGCAGAGGCCCGGGACCTCTCCTTGGAGGCTAGTCGCACACTTTCAGAATGACTGGTGGGCACCTGTGTGGCAGAATGCCCTTTGTTGGATCTAGTTATCGATAAGAGAGGACCCCTGAGGTCGCACCAGTATTTGGCTCACAGATAATTGTAGAATGTGACTTGGAGTTTTTTCCCCCAGTGCTCCGGGCATTGGGTCTTCCTCTCTATCCTATACTTGAGCTGCACTCACCCACTTCTTTCCCCAGAGGAACTTGTGAGGCAGTGGGAGCCTTCCATCTCAGCCCCATCCTTGCTCCCGCACCTTGCAAGTGGACTCTGCTATTGCAGAGCCCAGGAAAGGAGGTGGTGACCTCTCCTCTCCTGAGTTTCCAGGGGGCCCTCTCCCTTGGGAGAGGAGGTTGGTTTGCGCTGGTCTCTGTGGGAGAGGCAGGGTGCTCAGTCCCACTGGGGCACTGGTCCCCCACCCCAGGGAGGGAAGAAGAAAGTAAAGAGGTGGCTGACCCCCTGGGGCTGCGGACCTGCTTGACGGATGATCTAGAGAGAATCTGTCTCCGGGGGGCCATGGCAGGGTTTGCCCTGGAAACACCGATGAGTTCTGTTGTTCCCCGGAGGTTCTTTAAAAATTAGACCTGGGCTTCCCTGGTGGCGCAGTGGTTGAGAGTCGGCCTGCCGATGCAGGGGACGCAGGTTCGTGCCCCGGTCCGGGAAGATCCCACGTGCCGTGGAGCGGCTGGGCCCGTGAGCCATGGCCGCTGAGCCTGCGCGTCCGGAGCCTGTGCTCCGCAACGGGAGAGGCCACAACAGTGAGAGGCCCGTGTGCTGCCAAAAAATAAAATAAAAAAAATAAGAACAAAAATTAGACCTCAGCCAGATCCTGCTGTGTACGGTGCCCTTTGCCCTTAAAAGCCATCCTGTTCTCCTGGCAGCTGAAGCCCATGCCAGGGTGCGTGGTCTGGTCAACTGAGTCTGAGCTGGATTTCAGCCCTGCCCCCTCCCCAGCCAGACCAGGCCAGTAGGCAGTGCCCATGCCCCTTCTCCTCTCCCAAAGACCCGATGGAGTTCTCTTCAGCCCGGACATCTTTCCTTTATTATTATTTCCTCAGATTACTTCTTTTTTACCAAATTATTGAAACCACGAAATAAGATTAATAGCCACACAAAACATGACCTTTGATTTTTTTTATTTAAAAATCAATAAAGAACTTAGTGACAAGTATAATAATTTAATCTCTATACGTAATGCCATGTGTACATCTACATATGAGGGAACACGGTACTTTTTATCTTGGTTTTGTATCAAAGATTTTACTTAAATCTTTCTAAGAGAAGAGTCATCATCTGTTAGGACACATTGCAGTTAAACTATGAAATGAGTTTGAAAATATATATTTTTTTCTATTCTGAAGACAGTTTCATTTTTAAATAGGAATTTGTTTATCTTCAGTTTCCTTTTTGATTCTGAAAATATTAACTTTTTTTTTGTCTAGACTGCTTTCAGACAGTGATGTTACTTTGTTTACTAGATGTCCTCTTGTTTAGACGGAATTATGGTACTAAGCAGAGAGCTGCTAACACCCTTATTTCAATTCACTGAGATAGTCGGGATTTTGAAAACACAAGGAGAGATAGCTTGTTGCAAACATTTTTTATAACTTTAGTTAAAAAGAGTAGAAAATACATGAAACACATTTTTTAAAATTTTATCTCTACATGAAACAATTGCACTTCCTTCATGGTACAGGATCAACTTAGCCTTCCTCTTGCACAAAAATATTTCTCAATTCTGTTAACTGATATTCAAGGATTTGTATCCTCATGTATCATGTCCACAAAAGATGTGTGTTTTTCTTTTAATTAAAGCACACATCTGTGATATAGCTTCAGTAATCCCCAAAGAATGCTTACATGAGATACTCCTGTCACTGTTTTTTAAAGTCCACTAAGGTCTTTCTAGAATCAAAACACTTGGAACGAAAATAGATTTGCTCTTGAGTCAGGAGGAAAATGCGTGGCAAGAAATAGCTCCAGTCTGAGAAACGCAGGTAGATCCTTTCACTAAGGCCGACCACCTTATTGGCATCTGGTCAATGAGGTGTGCGTGTGAGCACGAGATTAGATAAGAAACGGTTGGACAGAGACCAGAAGACTCGGTTTCCTTGTACATTCACAAACGACTCAAAATTAAAGTTGAACCAAAAAATGTCAAAAGAAGATCCCTACTTCCTACTGTGAAAAGCCAAAACTTGATAGACAAGAGTCCTTAATAGACTAGGGGCTTTTGATTTCTATAAAAAGATACTTGCAAAGGTGCAAAGGAATGAGTGAAAAAATAAAGGAACTAAGATTTATATTGCAATGTGTAATCAAAAGAGAACTCGAAGTGTCACGATTTATTTAAAAAAGACCTAAAAACATTTGATTCACAGCTTTCCCCTAGGTATGTCATTTAGTACAACTCACTAATAGGTTAAATGTAGGTGACGTTAGTTGGTTTGTTGGTAGCAGCTAAACTAAGCAGGCGGTTTCTCTTTGATATGGTCAGATCTTCTATAGCTGTTACAAAGCACAACGAATTGTATAAAATGTCTGGCTGAGCTTTCATGATGAACAGTGTCTCAGAGATTGATCCACAGAAACACTTTCCGGTGGCAGAGAACGCCTGTGATTTATTGGTGACTGTATTATCCGCTGTGTATCTCTACGTGTGTTTTCAAATTCTTGCCAGGATTTCTCATTTGGTCTTTGGGTACCACAAGATTAAAAATGAGATCTACGAAAGCTTAGTGTCCGATAGCTCTGACCCTGTCAACTTGCAGTGATTAAAGGCATGTCCTGACTTTGGGGGACTCCTGGCTGCTGGGCATTGGCAGGATGAGCGGTAAGCACGTCACCGGTCTGGAGTTGAAGCAAACACTGAATTTGAGGTGTCAGTGTGACGCTGAGATGTCACTTGGCTTAGCGCTACAGCACATGAGGCAAATATACATATAGTCACATTTTAGAGATTATTCATGGTCTCCGACCACTTGAAAAAAATTGTGCTTTCTCCGGAATTTGATGTGCTGAAAATTGCACTCGCCCCCCGCCACCACATTTTAGAGATTATTCATGGTCTCCGACCACTTGAAAAAAATTGTGCTTTCTCCGGAATTTGATGTGCTGAAAATTGCCCCCGCCCCCCGCCACCCCCCCCCCCCCGCCGCTTATTTGCAAAATTAAACAAAAATGAAGTCATTTGCAAATGTAAGGGCTACTTTTTCTTCTCAGTATTAAAAAAAAAAATAAAGGCTTGAAAATAATTATGAGTCTTAGCTGTGTTACAGAGTGACAGCCTGCCGTTCTGCAGGTTGAGAATGTAATCCTTGCTGATCTGGGGTGCGGGCATAGAATTTTTACTAATCATCTTTGACTACGTTAAGTTCCGTTTCCGGTTTTACATTCCACATCCACGAACTGCAAAGAACAGCTGGCAAGGTGTGACGTGTACTGCTCCGCTTCTGTGAGTTGATCTGTTACAAAGGCCTTTTTGGTAAGCAGGGTGAGAACTGGTGGTGTCCGAGTCAGCCACCGTTCACTCCGTCCTATTCGTTTTGGAAAAGGATTTACTTTGAACTCCAGCGGGTTTTAAAGACGGCCTTTAGACTCCGAACACCATGAGTTTTAAAGGAACCAGAGTTTCCATCGTCCGTGCTTTTTAGATTCAGTTTTGGGTTTTTGCTTAGGAGTTGAGTAAGTCTCCTGAGAATAAGGCGAGTGTGCGACCTGAGTTTCCTCGAAAGGATGGAGTTTCCTCAGAACTGGCTGGAGTTTGTCTTCTTGCTGCTTAAAATCTAGCTCCACACTAGAAAGAAAAGAGAGGGAAGAATTTAGTGCTTGGTCTTTCCTATATAAAGAGTTCCCCTAGAGACAGCAGAATTTGGTGCCATCCCAGCAGGGTAATGATCATTCGGATGGTGTTTATAATGCCGTTTGACGGTTCAGTATTAAGCAATTGGCTATAATATGTTTTAGTGCTCGGTCACTGTGAACTATCTCAAAAAGTTTCATTTTCTTTGAAAAATAACTTATTTGCATCCATTGCCAACTTTTGAAGTTTTATTAATGTACACAGTTGGTGTGAAAGCATAGACTGTGTTTGTTGAAATGAGAAATGTGACATGTGAGTCACCCTTTTGCTTGTCCATGGACTGCACACATGTGCCTCATGGGACAGAGAGGAAACCGAAGATATGAGCGTTCAGGGGTCGTCTTGGTGCATGTACACCAGGTATTTGGAAGCTCTGTGCAACTTTTCACAAGGTCAGAGAAAACCACTTATCTCACCTGAAACAGTTGTAAAGTGAAGTGACCTTGGCTTCTGGTCTCCTTTGCAAAATCTCATCTGCCTAAAAAAAGTGGTAAGAGCCCAGATATCCAGCGTTGGGGAAAAGAGAGTGTTTTATCAAGTCAACACCATCGAATATCACTCAGCTGTTCGCAAAGGCAGTTTTCCAGGCACAAGGATGGATAGTGTTCGGTGAAAATAACAAAACTGTAGTTACATGGCTGAAGCCATAATGTGCAAACATGTAGCCATGGGGAAGGACATTTGCCAGTAGTGATAGGGTTTGTGTTAGAATGACAGGGTTAAAGCTGGTTTTTCTTAAGTAATTTCTCCTGAGAATGCTGCATTTGGCCTAGAGTCCTCCCATCCGTTCATGGCTTTGGAAAGGACCATTGTTGACCGCCTAACTTTGCGTAGGACCCCCTGCTCCAGTGTCACTCTTCTGTGATCAGCCCAGGGGCAATGGGCCTCGCCTCCCTTTTGGTTCCCTTGCCTGTACCCCTAGAATTTGAGCCTGGGTGCTGCATCACGCCAGGCCTCCAGAGGTGTCCACTCTGTGCTGCTTCCATTTCTGCTCTGGGTGCCAGTCGAAATGTCAGTAGATTTCACTAAAGGCTCAGCAGTGATGATAATACATGAGCTCAACATTTTATATCCAGTGGAACCGTAAACCATTTACAAACATGAGATCCTATTCATTTAGAGAACCATTAATCCTAGCTACATTTTGACATTTTGCAAAGACAAAAACAGCAAAGCTGTATTATCTGGAGTTTTAAAAACCAGTTCAAGACCCATCTAATGGACCGTTTTATGCTTTAAATCCACTGTTCCATTTTTCGTATCATCAAAGATTGTATTAGTGAAAAAATTAAAAATATTGTCAGGGAAGTTTATGGCTAGTTCTCCCCCTGTTCCCAAAACAAAAATTATGTTTCCCCCCTCATTTCAAAGGGCCTCTGAGTTATGCTGCACTTTATGGGAAATAGAATAAAACCCCGTGAACTCATGACTTGCTAATCTAGAGCAGGGGATAATGTAGTCATGCTTCCTCTTGGGGACAGTTGTGAAAAGTGCAAATCTCAGGACATGCTGCCTTTGTGAAACACGAGCCTCAGTTATTGTTTCATTGGGAAGAACAGGGATTTCCCTCCTGGCTTTTTCATCTGATGCTGCGGAGGGGGGAGGGGGTGAGTGGGGGCTCAGATAAATCCCTTAACCTCTTTAAGGTTCGGTTTCCTTCACTTGAAGGGCTATAATAATTACTGTCCTGGTATCTTAATGAAAAATGGTAAGGATCCTCCCCACTCCCCCTCTCCTGAAAGAAAGAGTTTCCTAAACTATAAGATGCAATTCAGATATTATTTTCTCCTTATTATCATTTGTTGATCACTAATTGTATAATGGGGACAAGAGCTAACAATGACTAAGAAATACCTATTCAAGAATTCTTCAACTTGGACATTTAACAAGGAAAATAAGAACCTTGCCATTGAGTCTGTAAGATAGTATAGCTTCCAATATGGTATTTTAGGTACAAAAGAGTAATTTTGTCAAGGTGCTTGGTTAGTATTGAAAGCATGTTCTCCAGATCATAACCATCTCAGTAGGCCCAGATACGTTTTGTGTTGTTAGGTCAGAGGGTGGGTGCTAGCATTTCCTGGGCTAACAGTACAATTCTGGGTACCTGTAATTATTGAATTCCCATTAAGCTCCTACATTGGGAATCCTGTTATTAACCAATTTATCACACCGCAGAACCACCACTGTAATCACAGCGTAATCTAATCTGAGTTCTTGTTTAACAAAATGACTCGACTTCATCTGTCTGTTGATTCCTTATCTGCACTCCCCCACGACTGAGAAGCTGCGGCCAGGAGCTGGTTTCTTCGTGGAGGGAGTGTGAGTGGCCGTGAGCGCCCGCTGGGAGATGCCTGCAGTGAGGTGACCTTGAGCCCTTCACCTCCCTCCCAGTCTGTAACCCCAAGTTGCAGTGCACCTGCTTGTCAGGTGATGTCCGGGTACCAGGGGATGCTGTGCCCTGCTATCAGGTAGGAATAACGTGGCTCTGTCCAGTGTTTTCCACCGGGGGACTTTTCTCCTTTAGGGCGGAGCACACCGAGTCACCAGGGTCCATCTGAAGCAGACAGCCGGCTGGAGAGGGCAGTGTCCGAAGGTTAATAGTCTGGCCGACTCTAGCTGACGCAGAGCAAAGGTCCCTTCAGTCTTAGCAGCCAAATGGCCAGAATAAAGCAGCACCTGCTGCCCTGGTCCGCACAGAGGACTTGGACAGAAGCCAGCGGTGGACAGTCTAGGGCACTTGGACTCTGTGCCCAGAGCCCCTCCCTGTTTAACACACAGCGAGCTGTCCAGATAGGGCCTGGGAGTGGGGGATGGGGGGTGGGTGCTGCCTCGTGGAGAAGCGATGGCCCTCGATTTGGGCTTCCACACTGATCGGAGGGACACGGGGGGTATGTTGGCGGGGGTTGGCTGCAGCTGCCCGGCAGACAGTGCATGTGGGCACCGTCCCCGTCTTCAGGGCTGTCGCTTTCTCCCCTGTCTGGAGCACGTGGCCACTCCTTGCCCCTCTGTCCCCAGGCCCACATGACCTCCTTACTCTCTAGCACCTTCTGAAAGCTCCCCCGCTCGGCTCCTTTCTTCCTTCTTGGCACTCACTACAGATGGTTGCACTTGTCTCCGTGTCATTTTGCCTCCGTCCCCCGAATGCAGCTGCCGTGATGGGGTGGCTCTTGTCCTGTCTCTGCTCCCAGCGCCTACAGCACGGCCTGAATCGCGGCAGTTGCCTACGTGATACTTAGAGAATTAAAGCATGAGCCGTAAAAGACAAGTCCCGTCTTGGCTTTCGTCCCCATTGCCCTGGGCTGCTGTGTCTTGGTCGGTGATGTTGGCTGTGCCCCCTTGCTCTTCCCTCCCATCGAGCCCCCTCCTCACTGCCGGTAGACAGGGCTTCTCCCGCAGGCAGCGCTGTGGGACCCACTCCCGGTGGAATCTGTGGCCCGGCTCCCTTCTCTCAGAACTTAATCTAAGAAGATGCTGAAGCTTTTGTCGTAACACACACACCAGGGTCTGTTTGGAGCCTGCCTCCCCCGCTTCTACTCCTGGCTTCCCCTTTTCTGGAAGAGTCTGCGGTAAAATCTTTAAGATGGGCGGGGTCAGCAGGGTGTGGCCAGTTGTGCTCTTCGAACCCGGGAGTCTTGTGATTCCCTTCCCACTTTTCCTGTGGGCTGGAAGCCCTGCTGTGGTTTTCTGCATGATGCTGCTTCTAAGCTCAAGTCGAGGGCAGTGTACCTGCCCTGTGCGGTTTGGACCTACCTTCCCAGAGCAGTTCCAGCTCAGAGACTTAGCCCTCGTTGAACAGGCAGACAGGAGTGTGTGTGTTCCAAGTCTGGCCTCTAGACCTTGTCCTCATCTGTTAGGGCTCGGCTGGGGCTTGGCACAGCTTCCTGCAATGTCCAGGGTCTCAGAGTCCGGCCGCACACGAGACTGGAGGCTGCTGGTGGTACCGCCCGCCTCCTGCAGGCCAGATCTGGCATTTGTAGCACACCGTCGAGAGGACACACACATCATGCGGAACACTTGCACCTCCGAGGAGGATAAGCAGCCTGGAAAAAGTCCTGACTCTAGAGAGTCCGAGCCCGAGTGTGAAGGGACTGGAGCCAGGCCAGCGTCCGCTAAGTTGGCTGTTCTCTCCTTTAGTGCCTGAGGTACAACGCAGACTGCAGACTGTGCTGGGTGATCCAGAACGGCCCCAGGACTGCTGGGGCTGTTTACAAGATAAAATCCCCAGGAGCTATCATTATTTACGTTTTATATCTCTCCTTCCCCTGCCTGCGTCCATCCAACAAAATGCTTGCGTTGAGAGCTTCGTGGTAACTGAAGCTGTGCTGCCAGGCGTGCCACCAAAAGCCATTGGCCACATCTGTGTGACTCACGGTGATGAAGGATTAAAGCCACGGGCTGCACACTGCATTTTTTCGTTAGTCTTTTTCTCTTGAAAATAGAAGTTTTATGTGTAGGGACTTTGCTTACAGAATTATTACTCTACATTTCCAAAGAACTAAAAATCTGCTCTGAACCTCAGGCTGCTCTGTCAGCTGGCACCAGCTTTATTTGCTTCCCAGCGTCTCTGCTGGGCTTTGTAGTAACACTTCTCCCCACGACTTCATGAGATTTTGCAGAGGAGCGTGGTTCCAGCATCTCCAGCGGATGCTCTGCTTGTCTGCTGCTCCTATAAATACCCAGGCCCTGCCACAGTTTCCTTAGCAAGCTGTCGCCAGCTCCTTGAGTTAATTGAGGGGAAATGGATTTAGAACATTCCTTTCTCCAGACCCCTGGGTGTAGCAGTGAAGAGTTAAAAGCAGGTGAGTTCGGCTCCCAGGCATTGTGTGTTTCCTGGACTGGAAGAAAACCGGAAATCTCTGGTTTCTCCAACCTTGACAGTGTTGGCGGGGCTCAGAGGACTGCAGAGCGGAGGCCTCCGCTTTTAATTTTCTTTG